CAATCTCTAACATTCAGTGATTCTGTGAGTTTCACCTGGACAGTTAAAAATAAAGATTTAATCATTTTGGAGAATCCTAAGCTTGTTAACTGGCCTTATATTATAAATCCAGAAGACACAGTAACATTTGAAAGTTCTTAATCAAAACTGAGCCTCTTTCTTAGATCAACACGTACCTACAACTGTCAGTTAGGAAGATGAGAACTTACTTTTGTTAGAAGCAATATAGTTTCAAAGGCTGTTCTGAACTGAGTCTTAATAGACAGTTGAAACCCAGAAACGTCAACCTGAAAGTTACACAAAAACAAGCTTTGTGGTATTAAATTATGTTACAATATCAAGATACTCTCCATCAACTACTTTGCAGTAAAACGTCCACCTACATGCCCTCATTTCTCAGCAAATAACAGAGGGCAACTGTATAACAAAGTAACACCATAGACACTGAGGGCACAAACTGGCTGGTTCTGATGTAGTGTTTCTCAAAGTTCTGATTTTCAAACATCTTTAAGGGATCTTCCAGAAAAAAGTAAGGAAAAAAAAAATCACCCCATGCTTTAATTATGCTTGGAACACTTCACTGCTCTAAATTAACTGGCAAATTTTAATGATAAATTCTATTTAAGGATTTAATTTATCATCAGTCATTTGAGTGTTCCATTCTGAAAACAGTATTACAGCTATATTTATCATAAAACAAGCAAATTACAAATTATTTTCTAAATTCCAACTACACTGCAGTTAAGACACATTTTCTTTACTGCATTGCCTTTGATTTCAAGAAGCGGTAAATTGTATTTAACTTACAACTAAGAGAAGCTGTTTGGTTCTTTCCACGTGTTTGAGAAATTTGTGGCCCATCCCTTTATTTGCATGTGCACCTTCAATCAGTCCTGGAAGATCAGCTACTGAAATCTAGGAAAATAAAAGTTTCAAACAAAATATTCCAACAAGCAAAAATGGTGATTTTAAACTCTCAACACCTATTATCATTTTATATAAACAAAAGAACCCAAAGAAATGTCTGTTTTGACAAACTCCTTTTACAACTATGTGTATTCCTTGGAATTGTGTGGGGGATCAGCTCTCCAATAGCATGCATTAGCTATTTCAGTACATGTAGAATCTATTACCACAAGCAGATTTAAACAAAATACTGCTATTACACAGACATTGTGCTCCTCATGTTCCCCTATTTATTTATAGCTGTCTGTAATGTAGAAAATAGACAGTAATAATACCTCGCCAGAGATCTTGCAAAATTTACCTATTACCTGAGAATAAAACAGACTCCGAAAGGCAAGAAGATCAGGCTATCATATGTTTATATAGAATTCAAACTGTCTCTGGAAAAGAAAAGAAAGTCTTTTCTTTGTGGCTACAGAGGATCTTTATCCCTAATGCAAATGCATTTAACATTGTTCCCCAGAGCGTGAGAAGCTCCAAGAATGTCTTCTGCTCTTCAACTGAAGTGAGATTTTGATTAGTTTATCAGCTTCCAACCAGAGCCCAGCAAAGCCTGCCACAATGTACAAGAATATTGTCATTTTCTCTACTGGTTGAGAGGGTTGTACACTATTGTAAAGGAGAGCCGAGACAAACTGAAAAAGAGCAGAATACTAAAACTCCCAAATATCTGCTCACTAACTCACAGAAAGCTAGGACAGTGAAGCAAAGAAGAGCACAAGCAGGGTCTTCAAATCTACCTAGTACCCATTTAGATAGCAACTGGATTCAGTTAAACAATGCCCAAAACCAGCACATAATAACATTTCTAGTGTACTACCTATTGCAGAAGGAGGCTTTCTGCTATGAGTGAGTTACACTCCCACTGATGTGCCATGCTAACTTTTAACCATTATGCATTTCCTAAATATTTGAAGCCTTGCTTCAGAATTTGCCATCTACAGAGACATGAGGTACAGCTGGATGAACCACAGACTTGTAACCAGAAACGGAGAGAATAACTGGAACAGGGAGAGAACAACTGGAAAATTAGAACAGAAACATCCACTCCTGGTGAGATGTGTTTGGGTGCTATAGTAGCATCATCACCACATTTTTCCTGACTTTAGTTCTCCTTCAAAGACTATTTTTACGGAGTTCGAAACTCATATTCTTTCAAAATAGCACTTGGTTCAGATATTCTGGTAGAAAATTTAAATGTTTCGGCTGGTTTCCATGATCTGGTACTAAGACCTGAACCCAGACTCATACTCAGATCCTCTACTGTTGTGTCTTTTCTTTTACAAGTAGTAGTGGCACCAAGTAACTTTTCTTCTTTACAATGTACTAAGATAAAATAAGCAAATTGCTACATATTTCCTTCAAAACATCATGTTCTGTAGGAAAAAAAGGTACAATGAGCCATTCTCCCTTAAGTGATATAGGACAGTCACCTCAATTATTGCTCTTAATTGCTTATGCTGTTTTGCTTTCAACATATGTTTTCAACAGATGTGTTGATCAAAATCACTTGTTCCCTTGAGTTTAGAAAAGAGATATTTTTGTCCACATAGTTCCTACATAGCACCCAACACTGTAGTATAAAAACCATGAACTGCAGAAACAGTCAACAATAAGTGTCACTGGCTTAGAAAACTGCAGAAAAGAAAACCAGGAGTACAAGTAGTTCTCCTGCTGCAGAAAGATACACCAGTAAGACCAAGAGGCCTGGTTCATGGCAGGTAGTTAGAAGGCTACAAACAATCCTGGTATTTGCAGCACAGTTTTCTAGGATAAGTTGCCCTATACTAGCAGATAAAATGAATATACAAAAAACTTCCCTTAGATGTGTGCATCTCTACAGGGAACCCGACAAACTAGACATACTTCCTTTAAGGCATAGTTTTGTTAAAGGTTGTTAAACGAAGCTTTCAAGCATAAGCTACTGAATCCCCCTAAGATTACTGCTTTTGAAAGTGAGAAGAGGAGCCTTGTCTTCTCACATCTGAGAAGTATGCTTCTCTGGTTAACTCATCTGAAACCCTTTTATGCATTCACCTTTTATCTTGGAAGTGATGAGTCCGGTACTGCTTGTATCATACACTTAAACAAAATAAAAGCACATCAAAGAAAATTCAAGCTTGAGGAATCAAAATGTTTGCTGTAACCTTACTTGGGGTCCAAAAATCTATCAGTAAGAGTCTCATTTAGCATTGCTTTCCCCCCCCAGTGGATACTGTAGAAAGGATTCCAGGCACCACACAATTATCTGACAACTCTGCCTGAGGAAGCTGGGTGGAATTGGGTTCACAACAATTAAGGTGGTACAGTTGTATCTCTACTAGTCCTCCAGAGCTACACCCTACCAAAAAAGAAACTGGACCTAGGTACCTCACCTCTCAGGTAGTGCACCATCCTGGCTGTTTAGGCAATCACTATTACTTCATACTATTTTAGTTATTTCTTAGGAAAAAAACAAACAAAAACAACCACTATAAAAACCAAACCACAAAAGCAAGTCAGAGCAGCCAACCTAGAGAGCCAGAACAGTAAGTTATGGTAACTGGGTTATATTCACTAAATGCCCTACCATCCATTGCTGCAGATCTTGGAAAAATTTGCCCCTGTTTAAAATCCATTCTGACTCATTAATTCAAAGAGCTCTCTATATAGCCAATTTGCAGAAAATTTGCCTCTTCTAAATAAAAATAAGAAGTTAGTCTCTGAAACAATGGGGTTTTTTTTAAAGTCCTAAACTTAACAAGAGTATACTAAGACACAGCAATCTCAGTTCCACACAGGACCTCATACCCTAAGATTATAAAGCAGGATTAGAACCACAGAAAGGAGACAAGGGAAAATGAGAAACCATTTATTAAAATGACTTGAAATCAGCTCAAAGTCATATTGCTGCATTTGTCTATAAAACTCTCTTATTACTTTATAAAAACAGTACTTTTTCCCCAACTGTCATTAAATCCATTGTATTGGGTGTGGCTGAGATGCAGTCAGCACCCCCCCAGCAGCCCTCCCAGTCCGGCCAGCCAGCAGGGTGTTTATAACACAGCTTGGGAGGGGGCGGAGCCAGGACAGCTGACCCGGATTGGCTGTTCCAGACCATGTGACACCAGCTCAGCCATAAAAGCCCAGGGCAGGGAGGAGGAGGAGGGGGTATTTGTTACTGTGTTTGTCTCCAGGAGCAGCTGCTGCACACACTGAAGCTCTGCTTTCCCGGGAAGTGGCTGGACATCACTTACTGAGGGGAAGCAGAGAATAGCATCTTTGTTTTCCTTTTGCTTCTGTGCATGGCCTTGGCCTTTGCTTTAATTAAACTGCTTTTATCTTGACTCACGAGTTTTTCATCTTATTCTCCCCCTTTATTTTGCTGAAGGGGGAGTGATAGAGGGGCCTGGTGGGTACCTAGCATCCAGCCAAGGTTAACCCACTGCCATCCATGTAACCGCATTTTATATGTATACGTGATAAACACACATAAGAAAAAATGTACAAGTTTCCTTTTTCTTCATGAAAGTATGTTAAGCAACATAACTAACCATTATATACAACTTTAATGAACAACAACATCCATACCAACCTGCTTATAATCTGCATACATGATCTTTCCTAGTTCAGGCTGTATTGTTGTAACTGTGACAAGGGAAAAAAAGAGGAGCAGAACAAAATGGTTTTTAACATTTTAAAAAATGCTAATGTTAGAAAACTTTTACATGTTGTAGGACTTTCTCACTTAATATTTAAATGAAACAAATGTTCCATAGCAGAAAAAAATAAGGCAAATGAGATGTTAAGAATTAGTGGAAAAGGAAAAAAAGAAAAAGCAAAGCAGGAGAAAGCAAAATTAGACCACTCAAAAATACAATGGTTCACCAAATCTTGGCACTGTGTACAGTTCTGTTCTCGTTATTCTAAAAAGAGAGTAGAGTATCTAGAGAAGTCTCAAATACAAAAGGATTAACCAGACTATGGAAAAAGGCTGTAGAGAATCAGGAGTGATGCAAGAAGGTCAGTAGGAATTATCTGTACTTGTACTCTTGCTTTTTGATTAAAGCATGATCAGAAAGCTAGTCATAATTTACTGATAGAAAACTAATTAAAACGGCATTTTTCAACAGTTTCAAACCCCAAATCCTATTCTGTTGCACGAACAGGTGGTAGCTATTTCCAAAGCATAAAGAAGTTTATGGAAAGGGACTTGATGGTGCATATGCAGTAGACTGAGCATATGACACACACGGAGAGTCTCCAATGCAATAAAATGGTCTGAGACTAAAATGTTAAACAGACCCTGCACCAACAGGTTGAAGCACTATGTGCACGTACACATGAAAAACTGAGGTCGTTAAAGGAACTGGACACTGAAACAGCAAGCTCGCTTTTTGAAGTATTTCTTATAATTAAAAACCTATGTAACATATTTAGCAGGCAACATCCTGTAAACCAAATCGGTGAAAAGGCTTAGTGCTCTCATAAAATATTACTGCTCTAAAAATAAGAGTATGAACTTACATGCGTAATTTGCGATCTCAGGCTTGGCATGAGAAATCTTGCTTAACAAGGACGATTTTCCTGCATTTGGAAACCTAGAAGGAAAGTCAGCATTTATACAGTGAATAAACACATATGTGATTCCTGTATATTTTATTACTGAATACACCAAACCACCTGTCTTGGTTTTACCCAGCTGGCAACAAAATACCACACAGCTGCTCACCCACTCTCCTCCCTCCTGGGGAATGGGGGAGAGAAGTAAAGGGGTTAAGGGAAAGGAGACTCATGGGTTGAGATAAGTTTAATAACTGAAAGGCAATAAAAATAATAATGATAATAATACACAGTGCAACTGCTCACCACCTGCTGACCAAGGCCCAGCCTACTCCCAGATAACAACCCTGGAGCAGAGAGACTCCCAAAATCACAATCCCAGTAGAAAGAGAGAGAAGAGCCTGAGATAGCAAGCTTCTGGACAGACTTGGGCTTCAATCCTAAACTTAAGCTCAAATCCTAAACCAGTAATTGTGGGTCCATAGCTCTAGCTATGCTCCCTCCCAGCTTCTTATGCACCGGCACCCTTGCAAAGCATGGGAAGTTGAAAAGTCTTTGGCTTAATGTAAACACCACTTGGCAACAAGCAAAACATCCGTGTGTTATCAACATTATTCTCAGTACAAACCTAAAACATAGCCTCATACTTGCTGTTAAGAGGAAAACTTACTCTATACCAGCCGAAACCAGGAAATTACTTTAGTCAAACTCAATGCTATCAACTGATTTCTGCAGACTCATTTACTCAGACTTGTTTTTTTTAAAAACCCAACAAAACCCAAAACCAAAAACCACCCCCCCCCCCCCAGTTTTTTTTTTTTTAATCAAATCAGAATCATTTTTCTAAATCCAACAATGCTTCCCAAGGGTGCAGGCAGGAGAGGAATGTTTATATACATCTAATAGATTTAAGAGAAATCTTTCAAAGTCACTTGGACAGAAACACAGCATAAGCATACAGGTCTGCTTGAATTCAGTCTTCACATGCTGTAGGTAATTTTGTAAATTATGTTTACATTCTAAACAGCCACCATGCAAATACATCTTATGAGTGGGATTTACAGTCTTTTGGTAGACAAATCATAGTTAATGAAACATTCTACAAATTAAGAACCAATTATATCTATGCTACAATTTAGCTAATGTAGCAAAGCAGATGTAAACTCTGTACATACATCTATATATATAGGGAAGAGTGAAAGAGAGACTTTGTGTATACAGACACACACATGCAGAGTTTGTGTATGTTTTTAAGGCAATGAAATTGTATGAGGGAACCTGAAGTTAGGACTAACCTGCTTTGTTACCAAGTAAACCAAAAAGAAAACCAGTGAAGCCCCAGGAGCTGGTCTGTGCAGACCTGACTGTTGTAACCTTTTCCCTTTACAAGGGATAGCTATGCCTACATACCACAACAAGAACGTTCCTTAAGGGATATGGTAGCTTTTAGAAAAGATTCTTCACAGAATACATCTACTCATTGAAGTGGAAACCTAAATTAAAACTGAAATTATAACATGTTTACTTTAAAGACTAATCAGCTGTAAGACACAATAGCCTTGATCTATGTCAAACCTGACGCTAATGCTGAAATCAGAGGACAGACTATAGTCCTTACTCAGAGCACCTGCTCCATGCAGGAGACCACACAAGTCTTGTGTTCCAGCCAGATTCACAAACAATATTCAGCACAACATTTCAGTGCAACAGTGATCAAAGAAAACTGTGCCTACCGGCAAGTGAATATTGGTCACAAGATACAAAGGCACATGTCACACAGAAAACCACGTACTCTCCACTTGAATATGTGCAGAATCCTGACCTGTTATGTTAACAACTAATAAGAACATGAGCTAATGAAAAACAAAACTAGTATTACATCAAGGGGCTTTATAAAGGTGTTATACGTGGGTCTTTCTTTTTAAAAAAAGAGATGCAAAGGCTCTTGTTATAACAGAAAAACTGTTGAGGGTAGTTTTAATGCGCTCTGATGTTGACAGGTGCCTTACAGACATTCCGGAAGGTTACTCTGGTCATCTCCTCAAGTGACTATTTTGTTTCCACTGAGGTACAATATCCTCTTTGAAGTTTAAATTGCAACCTACACTACACCTCACAACCTGTACCCAAATCTGATGGGCATTTTTACCTGATCTAATAGCAAACCACTTGCAAATCTACTGAAGTAAAAATAACAAAGAGATAAAAGTACAACCACAAACTATCAGAGGCTGATTCATACTCTCAACAAGAAAATAATATGCTCCTTTAATTAACTGATAATGATTCTTCTTATCCATTTTAAAGGGAAACCATCATCTAAAATACAAGCCAAAACACAAGATTACAGAAGCACGGGTGTCATAAAACTCCTGTATTTTCACACATTCTAAGACATTTTAAAAATTCTCTATTGTGTAATTACTGAAGACCACTTGAAAATTATATAACTTTATCTAAATCTGATATTAACTGAACTATTTCTAATAAGCAAAAAGAGACAAATGTAGGTAGAAAACCATGCTGTCTTCAAGTTTCCACTCTGTAACGGTATACACCAATTAGACTATTTCCACCTCAAACCCCTTGTCATTTTACATTTCCTGTCGGGACCATGGCATAAGTAGATGCTGAGCAGAGCAATACTTTACAATTGTAAATTGTACAATACAATTGTAGTTTGTTGAAAGCTTTCTCCAAACAAAAATATACTTATCTGTTTTGTAATAAAGCAGCAACACTGAAAAGCAGCAGAGCAAAAGAAATGCAAGTCCTACTGTTCCAGTACATTCCAAGCTGTTTATTTGGGAGAATAGGCTACACAGCCTCTGAAATTACTACTGAAAGGATCCACTTGTGACAGTATCATAAAGTCAAAAACACAATATGGATAGTGTTCTTAGCTCTGTTTTGCACCTCCTACTTACTTCATATTAGCCAACAGTATTTCGATAATCACTGCAATTGCTAAATTCAGTTATATTAATAATTATACATTACCCTTATTCATTAATTTCACCCACAAAAGCATAACCAATACTTTCCAAATTTTAAAATTAACTTTAATAGATGTAAACTCTATCTGTTTTGCAAACTGCAAGTAATTTAAGTGGCAATGCAAATGTACAGTAATGCTCATCCTCCAAACTCTCAAATTGTTTTGAAATCCCATTTGAAATTTACTTTGTTTTCCAATGTCAGTTCTCAAACTACAGTACTTACCCAACTAAGCCAACATCTGCTATAAGTTTCAAATCAAGCCGAACAATTCGCTTCTGACCTTTGCAAGGCACAAAGTTTGTGGCCAAAGAGCCTCCAAGACCTCCACGAGCTGCTAAGAATCTCTCTCCTGCTGCATTAAGCTCTCCTGAAAACAAATTCACTAGTGAAAAAGCACAATCTCCTGCAGTAGCTCAGTGGTGATTTTCCACTTAAATCTGTCTTCAATGAAGCGAGAGTTTTCTGTATGCTTCCTTGCAAGGGCTGTGCACTCAAGGTCATGGCATTTTTCCTTCTTCAGAAACAAATAAGAGCAATCATACCCCAGTATTCCCCTCTGTCATACAGTTAAGTCACTTCAAGAAACGTGCTAAGTATAGGCTGGCAAAGTATGGCCAAGACGGTAGTTCTGAAGCCTCCAACATTTGAATTCAAGAATTCAAGGAAAAATCTGCATTGATGGAGATGTAGCTACAGCAAATTTTTCAGATGTTCTATTTTTTCATTAAGATGCAGGCTGTAATATCTCCCTTGGGGTTAGAATGTTATAATAATTTTTAAAAGTGCAATATTTGAGTATATTAGTCAAGGGTACCTTTAGACACTGACATGTCTACAACATAAACAGTTCTTGCCATACATCCAATTTTGTTAAACATCCAAATCACAGTCTTTTGTGAATTTAGTTTGAACTCTGAAAAGTCCGAGAATTAAAACTGAGAAACTGCAAAGGAAATGAGAATGATTCCAAGAGCACTGTACTGAAAGCGATCTTCCTGGTTACTACCAAGGTACCACTCTTTAACAAAGAGTAAAAAATGGGTAAGTATTTTAGATAACCTGAAATGCTGACACTCAGCAAGGATCTTCATCTTCTAAGCAACACCATAACTCAGTAAAGTTATAGGGACACTCACCTGAGTTTATGGACACATAATGTACGTGAGGTCATTAATGATTCTGTGGAGGACTAGTACGGCTTCCAGCCTGTACCACTGGTTTGCAAGGGCAATTTTCTTTCTGCTGCACATGGTGATACAAACTGACTACTGATAATTTCTGGGAAGAGTCCTTGCTTTTCCAACAATTTCTACAGTGTATTTTTTGTCAAGTCTTTGTCCAAACAAAAGAAATCACACACATATTTGGGGAGATGTGTAACCTTAAAACATCCTAGTGTTAGAAGTCTGCTAGATGCTATAAATAAATAAGAGAGTATCTACTAGACACAGTAAAACAAAGGAAAAGTTCTTACCAATCTGCTTGCCATCATCACAAAGAACTGAGATTCCCAGAGGCACATGAACTTCACAATCTTTTCCCTTTTCACCTTTTAGTGCTTGAACACTGGGTGAAATTAAACCAGGTTTAGTAACTTAAGCTGACATTTTGCTTTCTGCAAAAAGATGTATACAACAACTTTCATCAAACAGACTCTTACCTGCTGTTGGCTCCTGTTCCAGCTACAAATCGCTTCTGGGGATATCTGTCCCTTATGCTCTTTAAGGTAGTTCTTTCTTGGGCAACGAACCAGACATCGCCACCTCTCCCTCCTTCCCCACCTAGCCGAGGATAACCCATTCCACCGGTTCCTCCTCTCACATAGAGCCGTAAATCATCTATAAAGTTGCCATACTAATAAAACAAGTTTCATATCAGTATTACGTTCAACTTATATTTCATTTTGTAGTCATTACAAACAATGTGGCTAAAACTGCTTAGGCAGAACTCTGATGGCAATAATAAACGTTCAGAAAACAGACATGTAACCCTCCCGGACGATTTTTAATAAGAGAAATGTCTGACGTTTCCTCCCCGGCAGCGACACCTCACGGCCCGCCCGTCGGGCCTGCAGAGCCCCACGCCGCGGG